TGTTTAGTCGCAAGTGAGTCATCATTACTAGTATTTTTTCTTCCGTCTGTCTGTGTTCTTCATTTATTTCTTTATTATAAAGAGATTACATCGTCTATGAATTATGATTATATCATCACAAGAGTTTTGTTACATTGTGCCGCACTCATCTTTTTTTTTAGCGATCGTGCCGAAGCACGTTTTTCATTAAGCAGAAAGGAGTTTTGTTACAATCTTTATGGCCATGGTAATCCAAGGTTACCGAAGCCAGAAGCTACACAAGCAGAGCATAGCACGCGAGTGTGATTACACAATCATGAATTTTACGACAAAGAAGAGCTACTCTGGGATCAAGTCGCCGCCATCAGGGTCCTTAGGTGCTTGTAGCCAGCCAAGCACCAGGTGTGTATCTCCTCCTGAATGACCACCTACAGCCCTGCCGGCGATGTAGTATCCCTGCCGAAAGTCCTCACGTTTCTCTCCTTCCAAATCAACCATCCAATCGTCTCCTGGATCCAGACGAGGGTGGCCCTTTCCTGGACCAAGAATTCCCTCACGACATTGCGGCGTGCGCGACCGTTTAGTCCGCGCACGTTCCAGACGAAGCATGTGGGCAAAGACGACATAAAGAAACAGTTGTGCGACGGTAGAAACATGGGACGCCGGAGACTACGTCTCAATAGCGTCCAACTCAGCCATGTCAAGGCCCATGGCTATTGGGTCAAGTCGCCAAAAAAAAGGATCTGCGAGCGCTCGCCGCTTGTTGGGCCGACATGTTTCCCCCACAGAACGTGGCCTTGAACTTCCGCTCGATCTCTAGGTCTGGTGCGCTGGTATCCACATGCACCCCGAGCTTCTTAAGTAGCACAATCTGTGCTTGCCTGGTGGCGTTCGCCGCCCGCGGCTTTCTTGCAAGTCGGCAACTATGGCGCAGGAGCCAACGGAGATCGGTGTCTTGAGAACGACGAAGGCGTGGCTCTGCTGCGAATGAGGGGGACCGCAAGGGGCGCGCAGATCATGTCCTCGAGCTCTTTTTAAACGGCGGCTTGCCGGGCTCGCCCCACGCACGGCTCTGCTTTGTTCGGGCGGGGGAGTAGTATCGACGACGGCGGGTGTAGCGATCTGGCCCGGGCGACATGCCCGAATTTGTCTATGGGGTAGCCGTGTGACGCGACGATCGCCGCCGCGACGTCCTCGCTTTCGAATCGTCGGCATCATCCAAATTAAAGCAAGGCAAGGAGCCCATCACTACCCACGCGAACGCCTGGCCGCAATCGCCACCGCCGGAGGCATCGGCATCTTCCGCCCAACGAAGGCAAGGAGCCCATTGGTACCCACGCTGAACGCCTTGGGCTGCAATCAAGTGATCAACAATAAACGACTTCGCCAACATGGGCTGGGCGAGATGCACGAGTGCGAGCTCGGCGAAGAAGAAACGACCCATGGCAAGACATCACGAAGGCCTCATCGCAATCCTAGCCTCAATCAACGATCGGATCCTCTTGTACCCCAAGGTGAATGGGGTTGTTCGCATCCACGCCCTGAAGTCAACTTCCCAAACCAATGACCGCTGGCTGTCGGGCTGCAGCCCGAGGCGCGTGCGTGCGACATTTGAGCACCAACAACAATATTGCAGACTTTTCTCGGTCTTGCTTCCGTGGCGACGCGACATCCGCTATCTCGCGCACACCGGGGACCAAGACACCGGCCGACGCTGCGTCCCGCACTAGGACCATGCCCCCCCCGAGCCACGATTGGCCCTCATGCGAAGCCCTTGCGGATGAGGGACCCACCTGAACCACCTATGCATGCGCGTCGTCGTCCGCAACTCGGCGGCATGGCATCGCGGCGTAACGCCGGACCGAGCCACGCCCTAGCGACGGGCCGTCCCTCCCACCCGGCGGAAGGTGGCCGGGCCAAGCGGCCGAAATGCTGCGACGGGCCATCCTCCGCACTGGGTGATATCCATTGTAATTCTCATCACCGCGCCGTCGAGTCGTCGCGTGCGGAAGCCACCATCATCGGAGGAGCTTGAAGGGTCCCAATCCTAATATTGACGACATGCATCCGGCGAGGTAATGCAGGATGGGCAGCTCGGAGTGAATGATCTCGTGTTCCCGAGAAACATAATGCAGGGTCATGCGGCTCCAGCGGTTCCGGGATGACAAGGAGCTTCGCCCGGCACCAAGAGCGGGTGAAGGCACCAGCGGCGACGAATAGTTCACGTCGTCGTCGTCGCCGCCAACCCGTCGGCAGATCGGTCGTGGCGATCTCGACTGGGTGCGGGAAGACCCAAGGAGGTGCGCACCACATCCTCGTTGAGGGCATGGGCGAAATGCCTTAATCCCAACCAGGACCTTGTAGGTGAATGCACCAAATGCATCGCCGATGAAAGGCGAGACCAGCGTCGCCGCCAGCAACAACACGAACGGCGGCGCCACACGGTGGTGGCTCGGAGTTGAGGACGCGCCGAGGTCATCCCGATGCGGAAACGAACGATGAAGTCCTGCAGGGCGTGCCACAGAACCGACATCACGTTGTCCTCGATGTTGAATTGGTCACGAAGGTGCTCGCGCACCATAGCGGGGTCACCGGTGGCCTAGTACCGCCAACCAAGGCCACCAGAGCGAAGCGACAAAAGCGTCCTCCACGGATTGAATCTCCGCGATCGCGCGGACGATGACCAACTCAACCGCGGGCGTTAAACAAATTCAAGGAGAGGCGGCGGCTGCCAGGCCGGAGCTGCAGACGCGCGATCGCGACGACCGCCCCCATCCGGCGGCGCTGAGCTGCGCGCGCTGCCGCTTGCTTCGGCGTGGTCGAGCGAGGCCCTAGAAGCCACCGCGCGCGGCGCCGGTGCAACGGTAGCATCAGCAGAGGCCGGCCGATCCACGGCTATGGGGCTAGGAGGCGCCAACAACGTTTACCGACGCGGCGGCGGCGATGGACCTGAGCGGGCGAGACCGTGTCATCTCGAGGCGCTCTCTAGCGCTTTCGAGAACGGCGCCCTCGGCGAAACATGACGAGCAATGCTGGCGGCGGCCTCGCTTAGCCCCGGTGACAAAGGTGGCCATCGGCGGCGCGCGCGATGGCCCTCTTGGCGGCGAAACGGCAGCCGCGGAGAAACGACGATTCGCCGGATGTGGTCATCACGTAGGCGATTGAAGCAAAGGCCAACCAGATCCGTGGCCCGCCTTTGCAAGGGTAAGCGATAACTGCGGCGCCAACGCCGGCGGCTGTGAACCTCACGGAAGCCGTCGTCGTCCGGCTGAGCCGAAAGCCTGGCCGGGTGGACCGCAACCGAGCGCAGCCTGGCCATGGGCGGAGGAGAGGCCGTGGCAGCCTGGTGAGCAAGGGCATCCTGCGCAGCGCGGCGTCGATGACAACGCCGGCGCCGTGGTCGCCTGCGACGCTCCCGGATCTCCCCAACCTCAACGACGTTGGCCGGCGAGGGGGCCGCAGATCCAAGAGAGGCCTCGGAGTCAGAGAAGTAGAGTCTCTCCCCCCGACTGAACCACGAAACAGCCGGCGACGAGCCCGGGACGAAGGGCTCAGCGTTGGCGTTGAGGGGTGGCGACGAAGAGTGAGGCATCGAGTCGGCCTCCTCGACCTCATCGGCCTAGGAACGACGAGAGGGAGAACCGAACTCCATGGCGGCTGGGGTGGACGCTAGCACCGGAGTGGCAACCGGCGTGGGGCTGGGGAGTGGTTGGTGGCCGGTGGCGGCCGGGGTGGCCGCCGGCGGTGGGAGACTTGACATGTCACGCTCATGTCGATACATGGAGGAGAGGAAGGCCCCCCGACCCGTAATAAGTTGAGCCCCGTGCCACACTTATCTTGCTTCGTCTATGTATATTTTAAAATTATTAGTTTGGTGTTTCAACTACATCTATGATAATTTGCACAAATTTTTATCTTAACCTTTCAATATAATAAACCTTTCATTTTATTTAGTATATATGATGCTGAACTACTGTGCAAAATTTACAATTTGTCATTAAATTACTAAATGGATTTTACGAAATTATATATGAAAATTTTAGAATAACATACCCTTCAAATAAAATCATAGATCTGCCGCTGGTGGTCCATACTCCGTCGAGACCGTCTCTTTCCTTCTCCCTGTTCCGAAGACCAGTCCGTTGCGCAGCGGGCAGGACACCGTGCCGTGCGTCTGTGAGCACCAGCACCACTGGCACAGGGCCCGCGTTTCCGTCCGCTCCCCCTCCCACGCGCGCAGGCGCAGCGGCAGGTGCCAGCCTGCTTGCCGCCCCGAGCGCCTGCGCAGCTGCTCCCGCTGCTGCTCTGCTGTCTCCTGTCTGTTGATGCCGGCCGCTGCAGGACGCTGCCGAGCTGCAGCTGTGCAGCGCACGCAGATTCTGCAGCGCGCACTCTGCTCTGCGCCAGACCTGAACACTGACCGAAGCGACCCATCCTCTGCGCCGACTGCACCACCACACCACCTCACCTTGAATCGGGGCCTTGTTTAGTTTACATCAAAATTCCAAGCACCTCCCACACATCACCTTTTACCTTGAATCCCAAATGTCAAAAAAAATAACTAATTGCACAGTTTAGTTGGAAATCACGAGATGAATCTTTTGAGCTTAGTTGGTCCTGCCGACGAAAACGCTGTCAAACATGGCCCCAGTCAAATCGCACGCCTCCCGCCTGTCAACCTGCGCTGCCCCTGTGCCTGCGCGGCTGTGCCTCAGCCTGCTGCCTGCCTGCCTGACTGCATGATGGCGGATGATGATACTAGCCTTGTTTAGTTTACATCAAATTCCAAGTTTTTTTCACTCTCTCCATCGTATAGGTAAAAAAAAAACTAATTACTTCCCGTTCCCGAGCCCTGACACCAGCACAAAGCCTGACACCAGCACAAACCTGGAGACCCCTCCATTTTCATTTCCCTTGCAAGAAAAGCGAGCTCTCGGCGCCGTCGTCCTCCGTCTCGTCCTTGGCGCTGCCGCAGCCTGCGTTGTTGTGCGAGTGCGGCCGGGCAGAGCGGGCTCGAGGAGATGATGCTCAGCGGGCACGGCGGCGGGAGGCGCCTGTTCACGGCGTCGCAGTGGCAGGAGCTTGAGCACCAGGCGCTCATCTTCAAGTACATGGCCTCCGGCGCGCCCGTGCCGCACGACCTCGTCCTGCCGCTCCGCCTCGCCACCGGCGTCGACACCGCGCCCTCCCTCGCCTTCCCGCCCCAGCCATCGCCGTCGCGTACGCCCTAGCTCCATGCGCGCTTCTCTCCTCCTCCTCGAGTTCTCGCCTCATGTTTTACTCTGATCGTTGCTACTCGTATCATCGCTCGCTGATGAGTTTGTTGTACGTTCCCGTGCAGTGGCGTACTGGGGCTGCTACGGCGCCGGGGTGCCGTTCGGCCGCAAGGCGGAGGACCCGGAGCCGGGGCGGTGCCGGCGGACGGACGGCAAGAAGTGGCGGTGCTCCAGGGAGGCCCACGGCGAGTCCAAGTACTGCGAGAAGCACATCCACCGCGGGAAGAGCCGTTCAAGAAAGCATGTGGAAGTGACCTCCTCCGCCACCTCCCCCGCCGCCGCGGCATACCGGCCGTCCGCGCTCTCCATCTCGCCGCCTCGCGCGGCCGACGCGCCGCCGCCGAACCTCGGCCACCCGCAGCAGCATCTCCGCCACGGCGCCTCCGCAGCAGCAGCCCGCGGCCCGGCTCAGGTCACCGCCGGCGCTCTCCAGCTCCACCTCGACGCGAGCCTGCACTCCGCGTCGCCGCCGCCGTCCTACCACAGGTATGCCCACTCCCACGCTCACTACACGCCGCCGACGCCGTCGCTCTTCCCGGCCGGTGGCGGCGGCTACGGCTACGACTACGGGCAATCCAAGGAGCTTCGGGAAGCGGAGCTCAGGCGGCGGCACTTCCACGCGCTCGGGGCCGACCTGAGCCTCGACAAGCCGCTGGCCGCCACCGGCTCCGACGCCGCGGCCGCGGAGAAGCCCCTGCGGCGTTTCTTCGACGAGTGGCCGCGGGAGAGCGGCGACACGAGGCCGTCGTGGGCGGGGGCGGAGGACGCGACGCAGCTTTCCATCTCTATCCCCGCGGCGTCGCCCTCCGACCTCGCTGCCTCCGCCGCCGTGCGATACCACAACGGTGAGCCGGCGAGCGAAAGACTCCACTTTTACTGGTTCCTTGCGTACAATCAGTTTGCTGATTGGTGTCGCCGTTTGATTTCTTTCACGCAGGGGAGTGATCGGTGCATTTCCTAGCTGCAAGCCGGCAACAGCGAGCAGTGATGGGTGCAAGAGATGATTGGTGTTGCCGTTGGGGGGCGAGGGCACAAAGCCTGAACCGAGTCTATGATTTACATCTTCCTTTGTTCCTTTGCAGCAGTACGTTACTACGTACCAAATGTTAGCTCGTTTTGTGTGACATTTTCGTTCAGGTTGCTCCTATTGCTACGCTACCTCTGTGGCTTTTTGTGTGCTTTCCTCCGGTCTGTGATGCAAACCTTGTCAGCACTTTTCCGGCGACCCACGCCTTTGATTCCTTTAGGCTCCGTTCGTTTCTTTGGGAACGGGCCGTTCCGGCGGTCGTTCCGGGTGGAACGGAGCCATCCGTATTGAAAACTGTCCAGGAAAAAACTGGTTGCTGAACAGGCCCTTAGAGCCCTATTACCTGATTCCTCTCCGGCTAAAAATCTGTGGCGGAGAGAGAGAGAGTTGATCGTTTGCTCTTCGCCCGGCTGAAACATCCGTGGATTCTTCCTCACATCCTGCCATGGACCACCTCATGATCCTGTGCGCCACCACCCAGGCGACCTCTCCCGTTCAAGTTTACAATGAATCCCAATTGATAATATACACATTCAAGCATCAAATATTAAAATATTACATATAGCAACTTAACAGCCCGCTCACTATATGTGTTACTGGCTTAAGTGACGTGGCTTAGTCTTACCTGATTCCTCTGCGGCTCTGCCGTTGATCGTTTGTCACATCCGTGGATTCTTCCTCACAGGACTAGACACCCGGCGACCTCTTAATTAGTGCCTAACCTCACAAGCCACGTTGATCCAGGCCTTGTTTAGATTGAAAAAAATTTCAAACTGATGAATAGTAGCACTTTCGTCTTATTTGGTAAATATTGTCCAATCGTGGATCAACTAAGCTTAAAAGATTTATCTCGTGATTTTCAACTAAACTATGCAATTAGTTATTTTTTTATTTATATTTAATGCTCCATGTAAACGACTAAAAATTGATATGATGAAGAGAGAGTAAAAAAACTTAGAATTTTGAGGGTATCTAAACAAGGCCCCAGCAAAAAAAGCTTTTGAGCTCACATGGACATGGACACACGGGTTAGCAGTCGCCCGCTGGATATTCAAATGTTTGCGGGTTACTCTAGGCGTGTTTGGATTCCTCGCCCATGCTCGCTTCGCCTGGCTGGGCAAAGTTCAGGCCATTTGGTTTCTTTACCTCCTATCTTGTTTCTTACGCTATCAAGGATTCTCCTTGCTCGTTGGAGAGAGCCAATCAAGCTCGCCTACATTGGCAAGGTTGGCTTTGCTGAGCCAGTCCAAGCGAGGCAACCAGCCGAGAAATCTAAACACTCCCTCTATCACCTTGCCCAACAAGAATTCTAAGCGAGGCTATGCGTTTGATTTTCTTGTCTGAGCGCATTAAAGTCTGCGCGGGTGAGATTTTGTTTGCTCACGCGACAAGAGCCGATGCCTGTTCGCTTGATAATAAGTCATGGCTGAAAGTACTATTAATTGATTTGTTGTGAGAGAAAAATACTATTCGTTGGCTGAAAAAGTATAGCTTATAAGCCCAGCGAACAGGGCGCAAAAGGGCCGACGTGTTTCTCGTTGCTCGTACGAACTGGGCAAGGCTACGCAATGCCCTGTTCGGCTTACCCCATATTCGGCTTGTTCGACTTGTTTTTTTAGTTGGAACAGTGTTTTCTCACAAACAATTCAGCCGGAACGGTATTTTTCAGTCAGTTTCAGCTAAATTTCAGACTAGCGAACGGGGCCCCTGAATATTCAAATGTTAGTTTTAGATTGAACTCTACATTTAGGTCCCCTTCCCGTCTTTTTTAGCTTGTTTTTTCAGCCGGAACAATGTTTTTCTCTCACAACAAATCAGCCGGAATAATGTTTTGGCTTGTTTTTTAGCAAAGCGAACGGAGCCTAAATGAAAGGCGTAGCAATGATGGTGTAACGATACTGCCATTTAGCATGGCTTACCAACTCTTCTAGCCAGTTTGGACTAAGGCAAGCATATTGTATATGGACTAAGTAGTCCATAAGGGTGGATCCAGTGTCAAGTGGCCATAGTTATTTGTTTCTCCACGATGTGCACATATAACGTGGGGCCCGCTTGGTAGATAAAAGATATTAAAAAAATCAATCCTCCCTCGGTACACACTTCCTTTCCTCTCGGCTCCCGAAGCCGTCTGCCCGATCACCTTCTCGGTTCGCACGATCCCCATCTGCTATGGCCGCATAGCCCTCGGCTCCGGAGTCCTCGGGCCGGCGCTCTGATCTTGGCCAGGCAGGGGCAGGAGGAGGGAGGTGGTGGCGGCGGCCACACCAGCTCAATGCCACCGCCACTCGAGGCATGGAGGTTGCTCGAGGCCTGCTATGATGCAGGGGGCCCGTGCCGTCGTGATCGCGTGGAGGGGCGACGAGGAGGTTGACTGCAATGGGGGAGGCCTCGACCGCCACTCGAGGCTTTGGGGCCCCACAGAGGTGTTGATTAGGGAAGAGAGGGGCGGGACAAGAGGGTAAGGTTGTCGGGTCGACACTCGGGAGAGAGATGGCGGCAGTGCGAGGAGGTCGAGAGACCAGGGAGAGAGAGGAGGCTGCGGGGGGTGGGGTGGGGGGATTGGGAAACCAAGTTAGGCCCTATTTGGTTACCCCTCCTAAAAACTTTAGGAGCTAAAATCTGGATAGAATCTATCTAAAGAACCAAACACCCCCTCCTAAAACCTCCTAAAAGTTTTAGGGGGCTGGTTTTTCTTTAGGAGCTCCACCCCCTCCTAAAACCTCCTAAAGTCCTTCCTGGACCCTTACTACCCCTCATTTATTGCCCCCTCCCTCCCTCTCTCTCTCCTAAAGAAGGGTAAAAGTGTCTTTGTTCAACAACATTTACTGCTTTTAGTCAGTTGTAGGAGGTGCAACCAAACATTCTTTTAGGAGGTTTTAGAAGGCTGCCTAAAATTTTTAGGAACTAAAGTTTTAGGAGGTGGGAAACCAAGCAGGGCCTTAGTGTTAGTGTACACAGGATAGAGGCTTGGGCTTTTAGCAGGGTAGGGTGGTTACCGGGTTGCCACCGGTGAAAGCTCTAGTTTGGTTTTGGTAAATTGATAAAACCCTAAGTGCTAACCTAGTTTATCAAAGTGATTAAGAGATAGGTAGCACTACTCCAAGTGGTGAAGCAAATGAAGATCATGACATGATGGTGCTGATGGCATGGTGATGATCAAATGCTTAGACTTGGAAAAGAAGAAGGAAAAACAAAAGGCTCAAGGCAAATGTGAAATTGATAAGAGCTTTTCGGTTTAGTGATCGAGACACTTAGAAAGTGTGATCACATTTAGGATCGATAGCCGTTCTATTAAGAGGGGTTAAACTCGTATCGAAATGCTGTTATCAAAGTGCCACTAGATGCTCTAACTCATTGCATATGCATTTAGGATCTAGTGGAAATCTAACACCCTTGAAAATGTTTGTGAAAATATGCTAACACATGTGCACAAGGTGATACACTTGGTGGTTGACATATTTAATCAAGGGTGGTGAAGTTTAGGGTCAAAAGGAGAATTTTTGTATTGACCGGACTCTGCCTTGGGCAGTGACCGAACTCTGACCCCGTGTCCGGTCAGTGGCGCGCAGTGAAGGCTGCCCTCGGTCCCTTGACCGGACACTGAAGAGAAAGGGGGTCCGGGCGCGCAAGGGGTGTGTCCAGCCACCTAGTGACGTACGCTGACGCAAGCAATATAGAGAGGTTGAGTTGACCGAACGCTGGCCTGGGTCCAGTCATGAGCCACCGGACGCGTCCGGTCACGAAAAACCGTCTCTGGAACCTTACTAGAAACGACCAGACTCCAGTGATGGAGTGTCCGATCACTTTGAGCAGCGCGTTTGGTCACCACTTAATCGCGAAAGATGCTAAGAATCGACCGTTGAGATCGTATGTTGGAGAATCAAAAGAGGAGACATGTGGCGAGCATCGGGCGACAGGACGTAGGGGTCCAGCGTCCGGTCAACCTGACCGGTGCGTTCGGTCAGCCCATGTTTCAAAGGACTGAGGAGCCAATGGCTCTATTTCGGTGGGGGCTCTATTTAAAGCCGTGTGGCGGGCTCTAGCTCACTCTCTTGGCCATTTGCATTGATATATCAACCTTGTGAGCTTAGTCAAAGCCCTCCCACTCATGTCCATCATTGATTCATCATCTTTGTGAGATTGGGAGAGAATCCAAGTGTATTGCTTGAGTGTTTGCATCTAGAGGCACTTGGTGTTCGTGTTTCGCTGCGGTATTCACTTGTTACTCTTGGTGGTTGCCGCCACCTAGACGGCTTGGAGCAGCAAGGATCATCGAGCGGAGGTTGGTGATTGTCTCCGGCTCCGATCGTGATGATTGTAAGGGGTTCTTGACCTTTCCCCGGCGGAGAGCCAAAAGGTAGTCTAGTAAATTGCTCGTGGCTTGTGTGATCCTCATCTTATGTTGATTGTGCGGCACCCTATTGAGGGTTTGGTGTGTGATGCCAATTAGCGTGTGAACCTCCAAGTGAGTGAATCGTCACAACGGGAACTAGCTTGCCGGCGAGCAAGTGAACCTCGGAGGAAAAATCATTGTGTCTTGATTATCTCCTTGGTATTCACTCATTGGTCACTTGCCATGGCGGTATACCTCTCTACCACTCTCTTATATTTCATTATACATTCACTTGGATAGAGCTAGTAGTAGTTAAGACTAGATAGTGTATCATTCAATTGTATTACTCTCACTAGGTTGATCACCTAGTTGTATATTAGTGACATAGCTTTGTTGTGATATACTAGAGATCATAGAAAATAGAATTAGATAGGTGGCTTGCAACCTCAAGTATAGTGCTAGCGCAAAATTCGCTTCACCATCTTATTGACTAATCATTTGTTTTAGTGTCGTTGTAGAAATTTTTTAATAGGCTATTCACCCCCTCTAGCTATTAGGACCTTTCAAGTGGTATCAGAGCCAGGT